TCTTTCAGGTCTCCTACATGGGTGTGGAAGCCCCCGGGACTAGGGCCATTCTGAGTTGCCTTTCCAGCCCACAAGCAGGGAGTTGTATGGGACGTGGAGCTGTTGGGACTTGAACCCCTTTGGGATGCTGCTGCCGCAGAGAGAGGCTTAGCTTGTAGTCCCTTACTTATTAATCTAAAAGAGTGAAAGAGGTGGAGAGGCTGATATTTCATCTTTGGGGTCATTTCCCACAATTACTGATTTTGGTGCAGGCTGAAACCAGGAGCCCAGGACTTCATCTGAGTCTTCCACAAGTGTAATTGGGGCAAAGCACTTGGGCCATGTTTTTCTGCACTCCTGGGAGCATTAGCAGGGAGTTATCTCAGAAGCAGAGCAGCTGGGGCTTTTACTGCCACACTGATATGGGATGACAGTATTGCAAGTGGTGGCTTAACCTACTTTACCACAATATCAGCTTCTCTCGAAAGGTGCGTTATTTTTTTTTAAATGCATCAAGTTTGAGAATGTTTTTACTTTTAAAGTTTAACTTTAAAACAATTAGTTAAAAGTTAGATGTACTTTGATTTTCATTTTTTTGTGCTTTGCCTCCAGCTTGGAACATAGTCCTGATGATGATGAAACTCCTTTTTGTAATTTCTTTTACTCAAGAATATCTATTGAAAGTCTTCACTAACCTCTAACATAGAACAAACACTTTGTGTGCAAAAATAGTCTTCTAGAAAAAAAAGTTAGGGCCTGGCGTGGTAACCTAGTAGTTAAGTCCTTACCTTGCACGCATTGGGATCCCATATGGGCACCAGTTCTAATCCTGGCAGCTCCACTTCCCATCCAGCTCCCTGCCTGTGGGCTGGGAAAGCAGTTGGTCAGCCCAAAGCCTTGGGATTCTGCACTTGTGTGGGAGACCTGGGGGAAGCTCCTGGTTCCTGGCCTTGGATTAACTCAGCCTTGGCTGCTGCTTCATCTGGCAATGTAGCTTCGTAATCAGAAAAAAAGAAGATAAGATGTGAGGAGGACTTGAATTGAAACACTTTCCAGCTGTTTTCAGCAGCATGCTTTGATGGAGTGATTTTTAAGAAGTGAAGCGGGTTAGCTGCATTTTCGCATTCCTTCCTCTCCCTCCCCCAGCCTTACTTGTCTTCATAGCTTTCCTTTCTGGGAAGTATTCCCAGTGACCCGGCTTAGCAGTAAGATCATGGGAATCCAAGATTTTCCCATGTCTTCCAGCGTGTTTGCTTACAAAGGCAGGGAAAGTTGCACTAAGGGAATTTTTTAAGCAGTGTCACTCACTTCACTGTCATTCTTTTGAATAGAAACGCGGTCAAGGAATAGAAGCATCAGAGGTCAAGTGGCAGTGATAATGCCCTCTGGCAGTGTCTTTGATAGCACCTGAAATGCCTTGTCATTTGTATATGGCAAGTAGGAAGGCAGGCAGAGTGATCTGCCCATTGTCGTACATGTAGTAAATGTCAGGGCTGGGATTCTGGACTTCTGTGTTTCACTGTTTTTGATGTAACAGAAAATGTTTTGTATACAAAAGTGATTTTAAAAAAAGGTTAGTTTATTTGAAAGGCAGAGTTACAGAAAGGAGACAGATTTTCTTTCTTCTGGTGTTTCACATCTTTTTTTTTTTAAAGATTTATTTATTGGAAAGTCAGATATACAGAGAGGAGGAGAGACAGAGAGGAAGATCTTCCGTCTGATGATTCACTCTCCAAGTGACCGCAACGGCTGGTGCTGTGCCGATCCAAAGCCAGGAGCCAGGAGCCTCCTCCGGGTCTCCCACACGGGTGCAGGGTCCCAAAGCTTTGGGCCATCCTCGACTGCCCTCCCAGGCCGCAAGCAGGGAGCTAGATGGGAAGTGGAGTTGCTGGGATTAGAACTGGCACCCATATGGGATCCTGGTGCTCTCAAGGTGAGGACTTTAGCTGCTAGGCCACACTGCAGGGCTTTGGTGCTTCACATCTTAAAGGGCTACAGTGACCAGCATCAAAGAAGGCTGGAGATACGTAACCGCTGAACAGGGCCCAGTGATGCCAAGGCCTGTGGAGTCCGCTCATGGACACCGGGGCCTGCTGCAGTTCTAGCTATTTTATCTGCCTTCAAAGAGAATGAAAGGAAAAGGGCCAGAGCAAGAGCTGTGGCTGTATCAGCAACATAAGGATTTTCACATATGACGTGCATTTGAGTGTATTTAGTGTACTTGATGATGTTCAATAAAAAACGTTTAATCATACTTGTGTTAACCTTCTGCTTTTCTTTATACTTAATGGGTTATACTGTATACTTTGAATACTGTGTACTGTCCCCTCTTATTTTTAGGGTGTAATTTGACCTGAGCTCTGTGTAGATTTTTGTAGGTTCCTTTGTACATGGGCCTCAATCTAGTTTTTGTGAGATGATGTAGTCTTATCTCAATATTACTGAGAGATGAGCATGCTATCGTCAAGCCTGCAGTTTGTGACTCCTAGCAAATACTCACTAGAGTTTCTCTTGTGAATAATGACAGTGGAAATGAGGGATACTGAAACATTTAGAGTGGAAGTAAGAAGGAATGCATTTAAGACAAAAGACTATAGAGAATGAATCTGTTTCAAAATAAGTATAGTTCTATTTTCTATGCAGATAGAGGCCGTTACTATATTAACATGCTTCTCCAGTTCACAAGGACAGAGGGCAGAAGGGTGTGGAAAAGAGCGTTGTCCTGAAGTTAGAAGCAGTTCTGGATAGAGCTGTCCTGACGTAACTGCGATACTGGGCAAGCATTTAATCTTTGATCCTCAGCCTCCTCTTCTTGGATGGGGATAAAAATGGCCTCTGTACAGGACTATGTAAGCATTAGAAGTAGTCCGTATTTAGTACTTCATAGAGCTGGTATAATAAGCACCTCTGGTTATTTTTATTTATTTATTTATTTATTTTACCATTATTGGTATTATTGTGATCTTGGAATACTCGTTTTTGCTTTAATTAATCTTTACATGTAAAGTGCAAAAGCTTCTGAAATGTTACTTAGAACATTGTTCAATAGGTGTTTGTGGAATTGTGCCTTTAGGGATTTCATGGAAGACACCCTGGGAAGGTGAAGTTTTCTGGTATATAGATTGAAGCAAATGTTTGTTACAACAGCTGTTTCTGAGATGTGTAAGACCCAGAAGTAATGATCCACTTAACTGCAAGAAGCTAATGAAGTGCTGGCTGAAACATTGAGCAGCCTGTTGCTTGGGTGTAACTAACCTGTAGTGATGTTGTAGTTTAGAGGTGTGAGTGCTGTGTTGGTGCCCAGAGCTGATGAGACTTTTGGAAACCAGTAGACTCCTCTAGTTGGGGAAGTAAGCTTTTTGTTTGGTTGGTTGTTTTTTTGTGTGTGTGATTCTAAGATTTATTTATCTGAAAGTAAGAGAGAGGTTTCCACCCACTGGTTCACTCCTCTAGTGGCTGAAATCGCCATGACTGAGCCTTGCTGAAGCCAAGAGCTTCACCTGTGTTTCCCATGTGGGTGGCAGGGACTCACTGCTGCTTTAGGGAGCTGGATTGTGGGTGGAGCTGCCAGGACACAAACAGATGCAGCTCTACTTACAGGTGGCAGCTTTTTCATTATGCCACACTGTTGACCTCATGAGTATTTTTTGAAAATCAGAGTTATAGTGAGAAATATCTTCCATGCATTAATTCACTGCTCAAAAGGCCATAGCAGCAAGGGGCTTTGCCAGGCCAGTAGCCCAGAGTTTCTGTGCTTTGCACATAGGTGCAAGGGCCCAAGGACTTGGGCCTTCTTTTATTGCTTTCCAGGTGTTTTAGTGGGGTTCTGTATCAGAAGTAGAGCAGTGGGACATGAACCAGCATCCGTATGGGATGCCTGCATTTCACAAAGTAGTTTAACCCAGTAAGTCATGGCACTGGCCCCAGGTATTCTCTTGAAGAGCAGTTCCACCTGTTTTTTTTTAGAATTTTTCTTTTCTTTTTTTGAAGGTTTATTTTTATTTGAAGGGCATGGTTACAAAGAGGAGAGACACAGATCTTCCAACTGCTGATTCATTCCACAGATGGCTGCAATGGCTGGAGCTGGGCTGATCTGAAGCCAGAAGCTTCTTCCAAGTTTCTCTTGTGGGTTTAGTGGCCCAGAGATCTCCTGGTGCTTTCCTAGGCCACGATCAGGGAGCTGGATTGAAAGCAGAGCAACCGGGAATTAATGCCCATATGGGGCCTAGCTTGCTATGCTTCAGTGTCAGCCCCTTAGGAAGAAGAAATTTAGCTTCAAGGATGTTCTAGAAGTATCATTAAAGTGAGAACACTGAAAGTCTAAAAAATATGGATAAATATTTCTGGCACATCCATTATTTAAATGCTTTGGTTAGAAGTAGATGCAGTGAGTAATATCTGTTCTTAAGGAGAGAGATTTACATAGTTAATATAATTGAATGGGGCTCGGCACAATGACTCCATCCATGGCTAAATCCTCACCTTGCAAGTGCCAGGATTCCATATGGCCTCCAGTTGATGTTCCTGCTGCTCTCGTTCAGCTCCCTGCCTGTGGCCCGGGAAAGCAGTCGAGTACAGCACAAAGCCTTGGGACCCTGCACCAGTGTGGGAGACCTGGAAGAGGTTCCTGGCTTCGGTTGGCTCAGCTTCGTCCATTGCTGCCCCTTATATTCCTTCTCTCTATAAATCTGCCTTTCCAATAAAAATAAATAAATAAATGCTTTTTAAAAAACTGGATGATGTTGTAGAAGAGATTGGAAAAAAAAAGCACTGTAGATTTGGAAGGACTATTACATACTGCAGGTAGAAATTGGGTTTCTAGTTTTAGACATGTTTACTTTAAGGAGTATCTTCAAGTTATACCATCCTCAAAAAATGGTAACTTTTAGATTTATTTGACAAAATAAGACATACTGTTGTATTGATTTTCAAAATTACAAATGTTATAGTAAAATGAAACTAATTGTTAAGGAATCAAAAGTATAATATTTAACTAAGTTTCTGAACCATTTCTTTCCTAGAAGGTGACCTATTGGGAGAATTGATACAAATTCTGGGAAAAATCCGCTCTTCTGCACTAAGAGAACAATGTCGCATGTTAAAACTTCTTACACCTTTGACGCTCCCACCGAGTTCATCAATTTTACATCTTTGGATGATGAGGAAGATAGTGAAAATGTAGATTTGTGGTTTGGTAAGTGTCATTTTTTGAGGCCCTTGTTAGGATTAGTGACTCGCTTTGTGCTAGGATCTCTCAGATATAGAAGAAATTGCAAGAAAATAGCTGAAATTGAAATTCCCTTCTAGATTAAGCCACTTTGTTCTCCATGATATAGCTCTTGAGCAACACTAGTTTGAGTTGTGTAGACCTACTTAATATGCAGATTGATTTTGGTTTAAATTCTGACAGTTTGGAAAAATCTAGACAAAATATGTAACCTAGAAATATCTAGAGAGCTAAGAAGATTTTATGATTACATAAAAATATATAAATAGCTCATTTTATCATTTCCTTGAGTAAATGATTGGACTGAGGATTTGTCTTTCCAAGTTTTTCTTTAAAACAGCATCTGAATGTAAGTATAGTGAGAACTAAGTGAATCCCATAATCTTCCTTAGTTCTAGACTTCCTAAGTAGTCGCATCTTTTTATTCGGAGAATGGCTAGACGGGCACCTGTTGCTAGGAGAAGCTGCAGCAGTAGAGTACTTTGACTGTTTTGTGTGGATGAGTTCCTTGGGAAAACCCAGCTCTGCTCCATCCTTACACATCCCACATTCCTTTTATCTCCCTAGTCGAGGAAAATCTGTACAACTAGAAAATGTCTTTTGTAAATGTTACAGATTTTTGTGGCTACAGTATTCTGTAAGAGGAACATGATGCATTTGGGTGGTAGATAGTGCCAGCTCTTGCTGAATGGCCCTGACTGTGTGTCAAGCCAAGATAAGGAGGTATTCATAATGCAAAGTCTGCACTTTTCTTTTTCTAGAATCCATTGTTTAGTGTAACCAGCTTTTATTGTTTTTCTGGTCTATCTGAGGTGTACTGACTTCCTTTTGTTTGCTAGAACTTTGCTGGTTCTTTCAAATGAGTTGAAAGTGTCCTGGTGAAGGGCTTCAGTTGCCGTGTGAAGTGTGTGGCATTGATTATTGCTTTGTCGTTGATTGGATGTTGATGACTTTGCCTTTACACAGAGGAGAAGGCCAATTTGGAGAATAAATTTCCTGGGAAGAATGGGATTGGAGAACTTCCACTCTGCAAAACTGCTTTGAGAAAAACTAATCTTCAGCAAGCAGGTGTCACACCTTTGAGAACAGGTAAAAAAAAAAAAGGCCATCTTAGAAAACAGTCCTTGGCAGAAAGATGTGGCAGTACTTTGGAAATCTAAGGGGAGAGTTTGTCTAAATTCTTACTAATGGTACAATGAACTAATTTATGATAGCTAGCTACGTGCTGTGCTTTATGAAAAATCTTTTGGGACTTGAGCTAATTTGGAATTTAATTGTGAGTATATAACTGCTGTCTTTTAGATTTAGTGTAACCTAATGTGGGTGGGTCGGCCTGGGAAAGGAAACAATAGGAGAGCCATTGTACAAGAGTTTTTCTATCGTGTTTTTAATTTTAAAAGATAATTGACATTTAAAATGGTGGTTACTTAATGTGCAGAATATTGTCTTACTTGATGTAAGCGAGAGAAGTATTCTGTAAGAGGTCATAAATTGCTTTTGAAAATCATTAGTTAAAAATAAAGCAACTCTCTATACTTCAACATGTGATTCATCTACTAAAATTATAAGTTTCAGTGTGTTTTACTTGTGCAGTCATCATGATGATCATTATGCAATATTTCAAAATTATTCTGTGGGTAAATCTGAGGGCATCTTCAATCACACCATTACAAATTCTCCACTTAAAGAGTTAATTAGAGGGGAAATAATAGAAAAATGACTATATTTTCAGCAAATTCATTGATAAGCTTACAGTTAGAGCAGCTGTGTTGATTTTAGATGATTAATTCATGGGTATAGGACATAATTGTTGAGTTTGAGATGTGGACAAGCATCTTCCACATTTCTCTTCCAAAGGGATTAGAATTATATGGTGTGTTTCACCTGAAACATAGTCTTCAAAAAGTTTATGGAGGGACCAGAGTTCTGACTTAGTGGATTAAGCTACCTCTTGCATTGCCAGTATCACATGTGAGGCTAGTTTGAGTCCTGGCCACTCCAGTTCTGATCGAGTTCCCTACCGGCGTGTCAGGGAAAACGGCTGTAGATGGCCCATATGCTTGGGACTCTGCCCTCCCACATGTGCCTGTGGGTGCTACAGCCCAGCAGGGGTATCTCCAAAGTTTTCCTACTAGGCTTGGTCTCAGCCCAAGTTCTTGTTGGTGCTAGCAGGTGCTGCAGTCCAGCCTGACACGGCACAACCCCCAGCCCTAGCACTCGCTGGTGGGTATGGTGGCCTAGCCCAGCCTAGCCCAGCCCGGCCCATTCCCAGTCCTAGCCCTTACCTTCAAGTGCTACATTCTAGCCTGATCTGACCCCAGCCTTGACTTTTGTGTTCACCAACCTGAGGTTGCAAACTAATCAGGGTGACCCCAAAGAACTACCCCTACCAGATCTGCTCCAAACACAGCTCTGCAGAGCCCTGGTGGGTGCTATAACCTAGCCTAGCCCAGTCCACCCCCAGTCCTGGCTCTTGTGTGCATGGCTGGATGTTTTGCCCTGACTAGGAAGGCCCTCCAGATTCCTCCTTATGCTCCACCCCATCTCAGCTCCCTTGATTACCTGCTGGTACAGTGGCCTGGTCCTTAGAAGCCCACAGAAATCATGTAAGTAAATAAAATAAACCATCAGTCAAATAAACCCTCATTGGCCCCATTCCAACTTGTCCCCAATCCCCAGCCTCTGGCAGTGTGTGGCGCTGTCATGCACATTGCCATAGTGATGGCTGTGGGATAGGCCCCAGCTGGTGGGCACCCACATGGCAGGTGCTCTGCACCCCACCATCCCCCCAAATATTAAAGAAAAGAAATAGAATAGACAGCTAAGCTGGCCCACTGCTGTAGTTAATGTTGGCATTAACTATACCCAGAAAGTAAGCCAGCTATTGGCTGCTTTTCTCCTAGAAGTAAAACACTTAATTTGGGAAATGGCAACCTAGGCAGTTGGCTGCAGCTGGGATTCATGGTTGTTCTTGATTCTTCAGTTCCGTTGTTGCAACTCTCTGTGTCACAGTGGATGATTCTGATATTAAGATCAGATGCATTTTCTTTCCTTTAAACTATATCAGTTGCTTATCATTTTGCTATACTTTTAGTTAGCTTCATATTGGAAAATGCTCCTTGGAAGTTTTAACTGGATTTTTGGGAGGGTATTATTTTAGTTTTTTGAAAAACATCTTTGCTCCTTATTTTCTGGATCTTTGTCTTTTTTTTTTCATACACTCCTTTATTTTATAGGTGCACACGTTCAAGGAATGTTAGATGGGGAAGACTTTCCATTTTCATGTCTGAAAAAGTCATTGTTCCATTTTCAGTAAATAGTTCAAAGTTTGACTTAATATTAGAATTATATAATGAAATTTACTTTTATCGACTGCTGTGAAGGATTTGTTCATTTCCCTTCTATCTTCCTGTATTACTAATGAGAAATTCTGTGGTTTTTAGTCTTTTTATAGGTGATTTTTAGAATTTTCAGAATTTTGCCTTTAATGTTACTGTTCTGAATGTCAGGAGGCTGTATTTCTGAGGTTGAGTCAGAGGGGTGCAAATAGGCAGAGTTCTGGATGCTTCTTTTCTGTTTGGATAAAAGTAACTTTTTATTAATTGACATATAATATTTATTTGTATTTGTGTGATACAGTGATAATGTAAAATGTGTAAAGGTTGCTTTTATAAACTGGTCTTATAGATTTCATTGTAACTAAGGGTTTCAATGCTTAGCAGGTATGCATGTGTATATGATTTTTTATCTACAATTCTATATTAAGTTTCATATATATGTGTGTGTGTCCAGCTCATTCCTTGGAATTTCAGAGCTAATTGGCTTTTTGATCTCTCACAGTTGATAACACTTATAAAGAGGCAGAAAAAGAAAATATTTTGGAACAATCTGTGCCTTCAAAAGAAGTTGAGGGAGTCATTTTAAAAAATACTCCAACTCAGCCTCAGAGGTAAGCTTGTATAGGACTCACAAGTTGTAGCTATCAGAAATAAATAAATAAATAAATAAGTATAGTTGCTTTGACAGAGTAACATATATGTCTGTACTGTGCTAGAGTTTGTATTATATTATTTAATCCTTATAGAAATGTATTCTAATTAATGCTTCATTTGTGGATGAAGACTCAGAGATACTTAGCTGCTTGCCTAAGGTGGAAAGAAGAGCTGGCATTTCTTGCCTTACTTCCCAAATGCCTGTAATGGGCAGGACAGAAGCCAGGAGATAGGAACTCAGTGTAGATTTCCTACATGGGTGGAGGGACCAGATTTCCTGAGCCATCCCCAATATATCCTGGGATGCGCATTAGCAGGAAATCGGAATCGGGAGCAGAAAAGAACTGCACTCAAACCCAGGCACTTTGATAGGTAATAGGGGCATCCCAGTCATATTAACAGCTAACCTGGATGCCCAGCCCAACTAGAAAAGGAAAAGGTATACTGGGTGTTTGCAAGCAAGTTGTTTGTTTGTATTTTGCTTCATTGGGGTCTAATTTACAAATAATAGTATATATAAATATCCACATTTTTTGTGTTGGATTAACATTGGTTACAGCTTTAACATAATTTGACATACTTTTATGTTTCTGAAGAAAACTTGCATATTTGTAGTAGATGCATCCATTTTTGATTATTTTGTCAATTCCTTTACCATAGAAGGTCTATTAGACTGTCTGCTCAGAAGGATTTGGAACAAAAAGAAAAACATAATGTAAGAATGAAAGCTAAGAGATGTGCCACTCCTAGAACTGTCAGTGAAATCCCACCTTCCAAAAAAATGAAAGTGTAAGTAATTATGTTTCTTACTGCAAAAGTGGACTTTTTGTCCATTGTATACCTGTAAAGTAAGTTTTTTTCCCCTAAATTTAAACCTTAGAATGAACAGGGTCAAGTTACAAATGGCTAGTATTCAATCCCTTTGGTGCACTTAGAGCTTGGGAAACTTGTAAAGCTGTGACCATGGTGAGGTGAATGGATACCTAAGTCCTCAGAGGGTGCTCAAGTCTTAAATGTCATAGCAATGGCCTGTTTGCTTCTTTGGTTGAGGGCAAGCTGGATGGCTGGTGCTTGTTCATATCAGTTAGGCATGTATTTTGCTGCAAGTTAATAGTCTCTGAAGTGAAAACCACAGTCTCTGTGGTTTAATGAGTAGCGACTTACTTGCTTCACAGAAGCCTAGAAGTGTAATCTGCTGACTTTGATTTGCTGAGCTTTAACAGGACTAACAGCTCTGATTTTTTCCCTCTTGTTGTCTCATTGTCACAAGATTATTGCTGTATTTTTTAAAGATTTGTTTATTATTTATTGGGAAGGCAAATTTACATAGAGGAGAGACAGAAAGGTCTTCCATCTGCTGATTCACTTCCCAAGTGGTTGCAATGACCAGAACTGAGCTATCCGAAGCTAGGAGCCAAGAGCCTTTTCCGGGTCTCCCTTGTGGGTACAGGGTTGCAAGGCCTTGGACCATTTTCTTCTGCTTTCCCACTAGCAGGGAGCTGGTTGGCAGGTGGAGCAACTGGGACACTAACAGATGCCCATATGGATGGTGGCACCTGCAGACAGAGAACTAGCCAGTTGAGCCATTATGCTGGCCCCTATTGCTATATTTCTTTTTTAAAAACAATTTATTTGAAAGGCAGAATTACAGTGAGAGAGACAGAAATCATAGATCCATTGATTCAATCCCCTGATGGCCACAATAATCAGGGCTGGGTTCAGGTCAAAGTCAGAAGCTCGATCTTGGTGTCCCATATGGGTAGCAGGGATCCAATAACTTGACCATTATTATTAACTGCCTTCCCAGGGATGTGTAACTGGGACGCGAACAAGTGCTAATATGGGTGCTGGCGTTGAAAGAGGTGGCTTAACTCCTAGTGCCGCAATGTCAGTAAATGTCTAGGAATCATTCAGGAGAAAAAAAAAAGAAGGGACAGGGAGGTACGTAGCACCAACAAGCAGGAAAATAAGTATTTTCCAGAAACTTTTTTTTAAATGATTTATTTTTGTTTGAAAGACAGATTTACACAGAGAAGGAGAGACACAGAGTGTAGGTCTGCCATCTGTAAGTTTACTCCCCAAGTGACTCCACTGGCCAGAGCCGAGCCAGTCTGAAGTCAAAAGACTGGAGTGATCTCCAGGTTTCTCACATGGGTGCAGGGTCCCAAAGACTCTGGGCATCCTCCACTGCTTAACCAGGCCATAAGCAGAAAGCTGGATGGGAAGTGCAATAGCTGGGACTTGAACCTTTCCCCATTTGGGATACTGGTACCACAGGGTTGAGGATTAACCTGTTGAGCCATGGTGCCACCCTCCAGAACCTTTACCTGGACTGTCAACTTGGATCCCTTAGTTGCCATAGAGTCTGTCAATCAAGTATAATCTTTACTTGCAACCTGGTGTATTGCTGCTTCTGGCTCAGAATTGTATTAATAAGAAACTAGCTATGGTCTTAGATCATTTCATTTGATGAGTAAGTAAAGTTCCTATATCATTGGAGAACTTTTTTTATTTTTTATTTTTTTATTTTTATTGGAAAGTCAGATATACAGAGAGGAGGAGAGACAGAGAGAAAGATCCTCTGTTCGAAGATTCATTCCTCAAGCGGCCACAGTGGCCAGCGCTGTGCCGATCCGAAGCCAGGATCCAGGAATTTCTTCCGGGTCTCCCACACGGGTGCAGGGTCCCAAGGCTTTGGGCCATCCTTGACTGCTTTCCCAGGCCACAAGCAGGGAGCTGGATGGGAAGTGGAGCTGCCGGGATTAGAATGGTGTCCATATGGGATCCCGGCGCACTTAAGGTGAGGACTTTAGCCGCTAGGCCACAGCTGCCGGGCACAATTGGAGAAGTTTTTTAAAAAAATATATTTATTTTTATTGGGAAGATAGATCCACAGAGGATGGACAGAGAGGAAGATTTTCCATCTGCTGTTTTCACTCCCCAAGTGGCCACAACGGCCAGAACTGAGCCGATCCAAAGTCAGGAGGCCAGAGCTTCTTCCAGGTCACCCACATGGGTGCAGGATTCCAAGGCTTTGGTCTATCTTTGATTACTTTCCCAGACCACAAGCAGGGAGTTGGATGGGAAATGAAGCAGCCAGGACACGAACCAGCGCCCCCATGGCATCCCAGTGTATGTAAGGCGAGGACTTTAGCCATGAGGCTGCCACGCCTGCCCTGCATTGGAGAACTCTTACCTTGATTTCTGTTTGCTTTCTTCAAGTTCACTCCACATATACTATTGGTATATGTATTCTAAAGATACTATTGGAAACACTTTTTGATTGAAACATATTTCTTAGCCTAAAGAATAAAGAAATAGGGGCTGGCACTGTGGCATCTTGGGTAAAGCTGAGACCTCTGGTGCAGGCATCCTGTGTGGAAACCAATTCAAATGTTAGCTGCTACACTTGGAATCCAGTTCTCTGCTTGTGTGTGTGGGATAACAATGAAGAAAAGGCCCAGGTGAGGCCTGCCGCCATGTTCCTGGCTTTGAAACTTTCCAGCTCCGTCCTTTGAGTGAACCAGCAGCTGAAAGATCTCTTCGTTTCTCGCTTTCTTTTTCTATAACTCTGCATTTCAAGAAAGTAAATAAAATTTTAAAAAGGAATGAGAAAATTAAATCCACATGTGGTAGGGTTGGGGCGATCATACATAATATCCTTATGGAATTATGAATTTTTTTTTTTGTCCTTTTAAATTCCAGTTCAAATAACAAGACAGAGGAAGAAGGCAGTGCCCGTAAAGATGTTTCTGGAAAGAAGGAATCTTCTAAAGGCAGTAGACATACTTTACCTTGTATACCACCTACAAGGTAAGTTTCTTTCCTGAACTGAAACATCAGAGTAAATAGGGTAAAATTACAAACGGAAACATAGGCAATATGGTACACCTGGAGCTTGGGAAACTTTTAGGTGTGTGGTGAATTGTTCGGCTCTTGGAAGGTATTCACATCTTAAAAATGAGGAATGTATACTTTTTTTTTTTTAAAGATTTATTTTTATTATTTTGTTTATTGGAAAGGCGGATATACAGAGAGACAGAGAGGAAGATCTTCCATCCGATGATTCACTCCCCAAGTGAGTGCAATGGCCGATACTATGTCGGTCCGAAGCCAGGAGCCTCTTCCGGGTCTCCCACGCGGGTGCAGGTTCCCAAAGCTTTGGGCTGTCCTTGACTGCTTTCCCCGGGCCACCAGCAGGGAGCTGGAAGGGAAGCGGGGCTGCGGGGATAGAACCGGTGCCCATATGGGATCCCAGGCGTGCAAGGCGAGGACCTTAACCACTGTGCCAGCGCGCCGGGCCCTACTTTGTTTTTTAAGATTTATTTTTTTAACTTTCATTGGAAAGTCAGATTTATAGAGAGAAGGAGATAAAGAAAGATCTTTCATTCGCTGATTTACTCCCCAAGTTGCTGTAATGGTCAGAGTTGAGCCAATCTGAAGCTTAGAGCTTCTTTTGGGTCTCTCATGTGGGTGCAGGGTCACAAGGCTTTGGACTGTCCTCCAGCACTTTCCCAGGCCACAGGCAGGGAGCTAGAAGGGAAGTAGAGCATCTGTGGTACAAACTGGCACCCACATGGGATCCCAATATGTGCAAAGCGAGGACTTCAGCCACGAGGCTATCATGCCCAGCCTGGAACATACACTGTTAAAGCAAGTTTAAAAGAATTATAAAAGAGAAAAGCACGAGTTCTTACTACCTAAACTGAATAGATTTCTAAATTCCCTTGTGGTCTTTACCTAAATACATACAAGTATTTTCAAATTTGGTATTTTTGACAGGAAATTATTTAAAAAATTTTTATTTTTAAAAATTCTTCTTTTAAAGATGTATTTATTTTTATTGGAAAGGCAGATTTACAGAGAGGAGAGACAGAGAAAATCTTCCGTCTGCAGGTTCATTCCCCAGATGACCACAGTAACCGGAGCTGAGCTCTTCTGAAGCTGGGAGCCAGAACCTCTTTTGGGTCTCCCATGCAGCTGCAGGTCCCAAGGATGTGGGTTGTCCTCCATTGCCTTATGCCTTATTTGTTGGAAATCTTTTCCCTTTTCTACTAGTGGTCGTTGCCGTCTTTTTTTTTTTTTTTTTAAGATGATATATTTTAAAGACAGACTTACAGATGGAGTGACAGAGGTGCGGTTGACAGGGTGATCTTTTCACCTACTGATCAACCTCCCAAATGGGTGTAACAGCTGGGCCTGGGCCAAGTGGAAACCAGGAACCTAGAACTACATCAGGATCCCCAGTGTGGGTTCAGGGACACAAGGACTTTGTCCATGTTCTGCTGCTTTCCCATGCACATTGGCAGGTAGTTGGATTGGAAGTGGAGCAGCCAGGACTGGAACAAGTGCCTTAGTGCACTGTGCCACAACACTGTGTAGGTCTTCTGTCATAGCTTCTGTAGTTTGTGTTTTAGCTGTTCTTTTCTGAATAATTTCAACATTGATTTCTTTTCCAGAGTTACCTACTGGGTAAATGACTGCTTATTAGATAGTACATTTGTTTTAGTATGTCAGATTTAAGGTACGTTTTCTATATTGGTTGAATTTTTGAACTCCCTTTTTCTCTCTTGTCTCTTACCATTTTACCCTTTAGGCAGAAGGTTCTAAAAAGTACTGAGGAGCAAGAATTGGAAAAGAGAATGAAGATGCAGCAGGAAGTGATTGAGATGCGGAAAAAGAATGAAGAATTCAAAAAACTCGCCCTTGCAGGAGCAGGTAGCTTCACTTTGGTTAATGCTAATTTGTGTGGAATGCTTCTTATAATCTTGGTGGGTTTTTGTTTGCTTTTGTTTTGTTTCTTTGAGGTCTCTAAAGCAAAAGGAAGCATCGTCATCTCAGCATAAAAATAGGTGTCTCTTTAGAAATCTGGATGTGTAATCCTGTAGAACAGTGAATATACATTAGCCTTTCTTTAAGTATGCTATTCTTTTGCATTAGAAAAGGAAAAGACTGGGACTGAGAACGTGGATAATTGAGCAGACTGATTTATTTTTTGTTCATTTTTAGTCTAAAGGCAAAGGAATGGATAAGTGAGTCAGAGCCAGGTGCTGCTGTGGAGGAAAGGATAACAAGAAACTGAAGGATGTGGGAAGGTCATAGTTTGGCTTTGCTCTGATATTGTGCTGTTATTAGTGAGAATTATTATTAGTATAATTATTATTATTGTTATTATTATTGCTTAAAGCTGTAAGTCCTGCTTAGTGGGTTGCAGAAGCACCCATCAAGCTTACAGAATTTCCTTCTTAGAGATGCTGAATTAAGTTTAATTGCTTTTTTATTTATTATTTTAAAAATATTTTTATTCATTTGAAAGAGTTACAGAATCAGAGAGAGAGATCTTTTATTCACTTGTTCACTCCCCAAATAGGCAATAGCTGGGGTTGGGCCAGGCTGTATCGGGGAACCTGAAGCTTCTTCTGGTCTTCCATGTGGGTGCAGGGGACCAAGCTTGTAGGCCATCTGCTGCTTTCCTAGATGCATTAGCAGTGAGTTAAATTGAAAGTGGAGCAGCCTGGTCTTGAGCTGTTACCCATATAGGACACCAGTGTTGGAGTTAGTAGCTTAAAAAGCCTCGCCAGCCCTTTAAGTTTGGGTTTTAAACTCTTAGATTTTCCTGTCAAAAGTGTTGCAGTGACTTTTGTTTTGTTTTGTTTTCAGATGATGCTTACATAGTTAATCAGGGTGGGAAGATTCAAGGATCAGGGAAAAATTGGTGTTATCGTTGTTTCCAAGTTTTCCATTCATGTTTTCTTGTATTTGGAGGGGGGAGGGAGACAAAGGGAGAAGCCATATCCAGCCTCTTAGCCACCCCAATACCCGGGGATGGGAAATGGCCACCCAATATGGACCCAGGGTCCTGATGTTGCGTATGTCGTGACAGTTCTGCCCAGGTGGTTTAGATCTGAAATGTTGTTGATTTTGCCGGTCAAAAGGGTGAGGGAACATGTTCAATGTCTCTTGGCTGACATAGTCCACCTTAGAGTCTCTATTTGCCCAGGTATTTGTTGTCTGTTGGGCTGGGGTAGTTGTCCAATCTCTTCTGTTTGCCTTCCTCTGCTATGGTAACAGATGTCTTTTGAAGGCCACAGAGGGCTGCCATTTCTGCTATATGGATCTGGACTAGCCGTGCACTACTCTGTCATTTCCACTGGGGAGATCTAGTTCTTGCAGGCCAGCCTAAGGACCTGGACTAAGCGACCTAAACCCCTCTGGATGCCCCACTCCCTGGGACTGATTCAGCACCCATTGCATTGGCAACCTCACGGAGACTGCTGTTCCACATGAGTGAGCCCATATACTCCCCCACAGATTCTGCTCCCAAACTTAATTCACTCATGTGCTGATTAGTGTCATGGACCAGCCTCACATTACCTGTTCCGACTCTCATTGTTGGGCTCTGTCATCTAGCACTTAAATACAGTGGCCTTGTCCATTGAAGACCCTCAGAGTCCTTCTTCACCTGGACATGAACCCTCAGGTCCCTGCTTGCCCCCACCTGTGCCATCCCCTAGATCAAATGTTAACCTACATCCCCAAGTACCCGGAGCATGCCGCTGTGCGGCCCGAGGGCTTTGCCCAGGGCCTCCCCTCCTCTGGGGAGTCACACCACCCGGTTGTTTGCATCTGTTGTATTGGTCCAAAAAGCACTCAGGCCAGTGGTGGGGAGTGGGGCCTGGGATTTTGCCGATCCTCCCCTCCCCTGGGGAGGTAGTGACCTTTTCTAGAACTGTGATCACACCTGAAAGATGTTTTTTGTTTTGTTTTTCTTGAAATATTTATTGTATTTATGCTAAAGGTTTATTGTATTGTGCTAAAGGTTGCCCCCTATAGGGGGCAAAGCACTTTGCCCTAGTGGCTAAAGTCCTTGTCTTGCATGTGCTGTGATCCCATATGGGCACTGGTTTGTATCCCGGCTGCTCCACTTTCATTCCAGCTCCCTGCTTGTGGCCTAGGAAAACGGTAGAGGATGAATCAAAGCCCTGGGACCCTGCACCCACGTAGGAGACCCGAAGAAGCTACTGGCTCCTGGATCGACTCAGTTCCTGCCGTTGCAGCCGCTTGTGGAGTGAACCAGTAGAAGAAAAATCTTTCTTTCTGCATCTCCTTCTCTCTGCAAATCTGACTTTCCAATAAAGATAAATAAATCTTTTTAAAAATAGGTTAGGGTAACACTGAGGAAGAAAGACTGGTTCACTTCCAAAGTGGCTGCAGAGGCTAGGCCACACTGAAACTGCATCCAGGTCTCCCGTGTGGGTAGCAGGCACTAAGCACTTTGAGCCTTCTTTGGTTGCATTAGCAGTGAAGTAGATCAGAAGCAGAGTCCCTGGGATATGAACTGGAGCTCACGTGTGGGAAGCTGGTGTCTTGGGTAGTGGCTTCTCTTGCTGCACAGCAGTGCCGATCCCCAAGACAGAATTTGTCCTGTGTTAACCTCTGTAATTTGTTCCCGATGGAAGGGACTCAATTCAAAATTCCTCAATGGATATGATATATGTATTAATGTCCCTGAAGATTATGTATGCACTTTTGGATGACATGTAAATGCTGAACCGTTAGATCCATGGTGATACCAAAACGACTTGGTAGTGCTTTTGATTTTTTTAAAATTAGTATTCAACAGATTTGGTATGATTTGTAGATGCAAATCTAACATAGCAATATTCACTTTGTCTTCCTTTGCTCCTCCATTATGTTTTTATTCTTAATGTTCTTATGTTTTACTGTGTTCCTCACTCAGGGCAACCTGTGAAAAAACCAGTGATCCAGACAACCAAATCAGTTGACTTCCACTTCCACACAAATGAGCGAATCAAACAACAGCCTAAGAACCAGGAGGAATATAAGGAAGTGGACTTTACGTCTGAACTACGAAAGCATCCCCCATCTCCTGTAAATTGATGGACTGAGTATTCCTGTCATTAATTCAGTTAGGATTTCAGATGTAACATTTGTGATCACTGTGTATAATAGTATAGTCAAGAGAAGCACATACTTTGAACCTAGATAGTCTAATTTCTCACTTTTAGAATTATGTGTGCCAAATTGTAGGTACAGAGATTTGTGTTGTTGTAAAAAAAAACAAAACTGTGTCTGCACAGTTGTATGTATTAAATATAGGAGGGTTTATAGGAAAAACAGGAAAGATAACTTAAATCCTGTGCATTTTTATTACCAAAACAGCACAGAATGATAATTTTAGAACTGGTCATCTCTGCTTTACATATGTTTTAAAGAGTTTTGTACCACTCAGAAGCTGGTTGCATCACAGTTAGTGAGGCAGGGGGTGGGCTTTACATCAGCTAATGGGGTAAATGGAGAGATTCTGATTAAGGCCCACCTAGGAGCCTGGTCAAGCTTTTTTGGTTGTTACTTTAGGATTGGGATGCCTTTATAGCTTTTTTCTCCTTTTAATTCTAAGAAAGCTTGCTTTTGGTAGCTTTAAAACACTTACTTGCTTGAGAAAAATCACGTTTGCTATTTCACAACGGTAGTTTCAATGCTAGAGCCTCCCTCTCCCTCACTTTATTTAAAAGATGGAAATAATCTGGTTTAATTCTTAGCTAAGTACTGATAAACTTCAGAGTATAATTGTGGCTAACTTTTCTCTTTGCAGGCACGAGTGACTAGGGGTTGTACTATCATCAAGCCTTTCAACCTGTCCCAAGGAAAGAAAAGAACATTTGATGAAGCAGCTTCTACATATGTGCCCCTTGCGCAGCAGGTGGAAGCCTTCCATAAACGAACCCCTAACAGATACCATCTGAGGAGCAAAAAGGAGGATATTAGTAAGTTTCCTGTCAAGGTCATGCCCTGAGAGTTCATAGTAGAGATGGGGTGAAAGAAGAATGAAGAAGGAGAAGAATGGGTGCAGATGCTTGTGGGTCTTGTCAAGTTGTAGGGGATTGTGATAGTGGTTTTTTTTTTTTTTTTTTTAATATTTTTATTGCAAAGTCAGATATATGTAGAGAGGAGGAGAGACAGAGAGGAAGATCTTCCGTCCACTAATTCACTCCCCAAGTGACTGCAGTGGCCAGAGCTGAGCTGATCTGAAGCCAGGAGCCAGGAACTTCCTCAGGGTCTCCCACACGGTTGCAGGGTCCCAAGGCTTTGGGCTGTCCTCGACTGCTTTCCTAGGCCACAAGCAAGGAGCTGGATGGGAAGTGGGGCACCGGGATTAGAACCTGTACCCATATAGTATCCAGGCACGTTCAAGGAGAGGGCTTTAGCCGCTAGGCCATGGCGCAGGGCTCTTGTGATTGTTTCTTAGTGAACATTTCTGTGAGAGAGAAGGTGGGGAAGTCTGAGGAATGAAGGTGCTGTATGATAGTAATGGAGAGTCTAGGGCTTATATTCTGGAAAGGTGTAATTGGATTGTTTTTAGCTTTGATACCTGGGAGGCAATGTTAACACTGTGTTAGGTAGCCAAGTCGTGTGTAACTGCAGCATTTCTGCATACTACTACTACATTCTAGTGGCCCAAAAGGTTTTGTCAAATTGATGCTAAGAAAATGATAAAATGTCTTTTATTAGTCTAATGTCAATTTAAATATTCAGTATGACTTTTCAAATTATATATCTGAGTTGAATGACTATTTAATAGATTATGAAAATGATGAACTTTTCCCATTCCAGATTGATGTTTTCTATGAGAGGTGATGATGGCCTTAATATGGATGATTTGACATTTGTTTTGTTTTCTATGAGAAATTATCATGATGTTTTATTATAGATGCTTTTAGAAAATTCATAAAACTGAGTTATTTTATCTTTAGAAAGGTCTTATTTGAATATAAACAAAAATTTTGTTTGTCAATAACAAAACAGTTGCATTGCTAATAAAAGGTACAGGGCTGTGCAATGATAAGGAGCCCCATCAGGCGTGAATGGATTCTGAGTTCAGAAGATGACAACAGGATTTACCCAGAGCCACCTTAATCCTACTGTTCAGTAGCAATAGGAAGAGGCCTGAGTGTGGAGGGCCAGCCACATTGTGTTAGCTCATATATCTCTGGGTTGCCTCTTTGAGCTACCTGTGACCTGAAGATCCAATAGATGTCTATGACCTTGCTTTACAGACCCGTTACCCTCCAAGCCTTCTGTGATCAAGCTCTCCAGAGACCCACAGACTCCTGTCCTACAAACCAAGCACCGAACAAGGCCGATTGCCTACAAAAGCGCAGCAGAGCAGGAGGCTGAGGAGCTCGAGAAACTGCAACAGTGAGTGCTGCTGGCTGGGAAAGGGGCCAGGAGTTGGCCTGCTCTCTTCTCATTCCTGAAAGGACAACCACCTGTGTCTCTAGCTAGCTACTTACCTACCTTTCTTTTCTTTCTTTTTGTCTTTTAAGCTTTATTTATCTTGAAAGAATTCAGGAAAAAACACATGGAGAGCATAATTTTCTATCTGCCGGTTTACGCCCCAGATAGCTACAATAGCTAGTGCTGGACTAGGCTGAAAACAGCAACCAGGAGCTTCTTCCAAATCTCCTGTTTGCATGCAGAGGCCCAGGTGCTTGGGCCATCTCTGCTGCTTCGTCATTTTTGCCAGTCAAGCCATTAGCGGGGTGCTGGATTGGAAGTGGAGCATCTGGAACTTGAATGTGCCTCCACATGGGATGCTGGTGACATAAGCAATAATTTTACCCACCATGCCACAACATGGTCCCCCATTTTAAGATTTATTTATTTTTTGTTAGAAAGATATACAGAGATGGGGAGAGACAGAGAGGAAGATCTTCTGTCCATTGATTCAATCCCCAAATGGCCACAACAGCCAGAGCTGAGGCAATTCGAAATTAGGAACCAGGAGCCTCCTCTGGGTCTCCCATGTAGGTGCAGGGTCCCAAGGCTTTGAGCCATTCTCGACTGCTCTCCCAGGGCACAGGCATGGAGCTGGATGGGAAGTGGGGCTGCAGGGATTAGAACTGCCGCCCATGTGGGATCCTGGCATGTGCAAGGCAAGGACTTTAGGCACTAGGCTACCTCGCTGGGCCAAGACAACTTTTTTTTTAAGAAAATGTATGGCATTTGAGTTGTAGACTCTACAGGTTTGTGGCCTTGCTGCTATCATTAAAGAACTGGAATTGGGGATACAGAGGTGGACTCTATAAATTAAATCAGCAACTACAAATTAATGCAAAAATCTTTACGGGAGTATTTAAAATTCCATTTAAGGAACGTCCTCTGAGGTTTGTTTAGGTAGATCTCACTGATCCTTTTATGCCTACAGAAGGGATTGTTAGAGCTGTAATCAGTGGAATAAACTGAACATAGTTGTGGTTAGCATGTGAGTTCATCTCTTTTTTTTCCCCATTTTTTTCTTTATTTTTGATAATCTTTACATAGTTAATTAGGGCACAAAGGTTCAAGGGCTACAGGAAAGTGGGTAAGATTATTAGTTCCACTGTTTTTCCCCTGTATCTGGGGTGAAGGAGGAGATAAAGGGAGAAACCCCACCCAACCTCCCACTCATCCCAGGTCCCTGATGAGGGGCATGCTCCGAGGGTCTTGCTCAAGTGGTTTTGATAGTTCAACAGTTCTGAATTGGTGCCAATCTCACCATTCCAAGCATGATGAGGTCACTGCAGAATCCACTTAGTCCACCTTAGAGTCTCTCTGCCCTGTTTTTCACTGCCAACATATGACTGGGGAGGTTGGTTGATTTGTTCTGTCCTCTGCTGTGGTGCCAGGTATCCTCTGCAGGTTCTGATAGGCTGCCATATCCTCCATGTGCATCTGGTTATGCTCTCCACTGCTCTGTCTGAGCCTCTTAGGAAGCTCAGCTCTGGCACTTATGCTCCATGGCAGACCATGGAACCTGCACTGCTCTTCATGGATAGGGTTCTGAGTTCGGCAGTTAGATTGGGGAGATCCCCAAAGAAAATTTGTCTGAGGTGATCCCAGACCAGATTCTTGAGTGTACTTGCAAGTACAAGGCCTGGTACAGTCCATCACCCCATCAGCTGGTGGTTGCAATTGCTAGGTTGATTTCTTTTTCCAGCCCTGTCTTCCACTGGAATCAATGGGTGTTGCAGTCCAGCCTGATTCTGCCCAGCACACACTCAACCCTCACATAAACCAGTGGGAGCTGCAGCTTAGTCGGAGTGACCCACAATAACTCCCACCAGGCCCGCCCCTACCCTGGTTCCCGTGCTTGCCAGTATGTGCAGCAGTCTGTGCCACATCCCATTCAGCTCTCATACATGTCAATGGGCATTGAAGCCTAGTTCCATCTAACAAGCTCCACTATCCAGTCCACACACATGCTTTTGGGTGCCTTTCTGTCTAACCTGACCCTGTCATGGCTTTCATGCTCTCCAGTGGGGATGGTAACCCAAGAGGGAGGTGCCACTGTTTCCTTTCTAGGCCACTCCCACTCCCTGATTATGTAATCCAGGTGGTTCTGGAGTTTAACTTGATAGATTTAGCCCCTAGTGCCAGCCTCTGCCAGCTGAGAGTACAGCAAAACCCAACCAACCCTCACCCACTGTAATTTTTGCTTGCACCAGTCAGAAGTCAGTCCAACCTAGTTTTTACCTGATCTAGCTCACATGAGGCCCACAGGTGTTGTAACCATGCCTGGTCTGGTGTGTCCCCATCTCAACCCACGCTCTCCAGGGGGAGTGATTGTCCAGCAGGGGAGCCCACATTTCCCCTGCCAGCTTCGCCCCCTCCCTCCCTGGTTTTCACATGTGCTCTTTGGATGCTGTGGCCACATCTGGTATGGCTCTTCCCACCTTGTTATTACATAATGTGCACTGGTTTTTTGTTGCGACCAAACCTGGCCCAACCCACACTTTGTTCTGGTGCTCAGATTCACCAGTAGGTGATGTGAACTGGTTCAGCCTGATCTGCCCCCAATCTGTGCCAAATGTATGCCAGTAGGTATCTTTCCATGGCCTGTTCTGGGCTGTTCCCTATCATGCTTCTTGTGCTCACCTGCAGAGACTGTGTCCTGTCAGAGGAATGAGTTCAAGTCTTCATCCTTCCATTCCATTTTGTGTTTTTCAGGATGGCATGTTTGGACTGATTAATTTGCTGAAGAGGTTAAAAATAATGGCTATGGAAAAAGTTGAGATTTTATTGTGCATGTGGGGTAGTCTTAATTTTCATGTTTTGTTGCTTATGTAATTTTTATCTTATTTCAAAGGTTTTTTTTTTAATGATTGTCTTAACTCCCATTTACAGATACAAATTCAAAGCACGAGAAATTGATCCCAGAATTCTTGAAGGTGGGCCCATCTTGCCCAAGAAGCCACCTGTGAAACCATCCACTCAGCCTATTGGTTTTGATTTGGAAATTGAGAAGAGAATCCAGGAGCGAGAATCAAAGAAGAAATCAGAGGATGAGCAATTTGAGTTTCATTCTAGACCTTGCCCTACTAAGATATTGGAAGATGTTGTGGTAAGAATAGTTGAGGCGCTGGGGCCTAATAAAAGGGTCCTATTTGGATGAAATATCAGCCTTTTCACAAATGTTGGAGTGGAGACTTTGAGCAGGGCATCACCTTAGGAACTGAATATAGATAATGAAGAGACATAATGGAAGTGGATTTTAACAGACAGGGATATGGCATACATATCAGTAATGTAAAGTAGACGGAAGTGCAATAGGAATAGAGAGGAAGGAAATTTAGAAAGCGCATTAAAAAGGATATAGTGTCTGACTTGAGAAGCCTTGACATCATATGGTAGTAGTTGTCCTCATTGGTGTCATGATCACTGATACTTCTTCTGTATACCAGACATTGCTCTGTTCCTTGTTCTCATGCAGTTATATCTCAACACTGTGGGGAATTGGTAACAGGACCCCCTGCAGATATCAAATGCTGCAGACACTCAAGTCTCTTATGAAATAGTATTTCCAAATAAGCTATACATGTCTTCCTAGATTGCTTATAATGCCTAGTACAATGAAATCTTATGTAGTTTACCGTATAGTAAATATTCTCTTGTTTAGGAAATAGTGACAAGAAAACAAGTCTTCGGCTTAGTATGAATACAAATATTTTTCGTGTGCAGTGGATTGAATACACTAGTATGGAACCAGTGGATTCAAAGGCCAGCTGAAATGACTACATTAACTCATTATTTTTGACAACTCCTTTTAAGTGGATGAATTTGGTTATACCTCATTTCAGTTGAGGTATAAGCAAGTTATATATATAACTCATAAGGCATTCAATAAGTATATGGGCCCAAGAAGTTAAAATTTAACTTTAAGGGAGCTATTACCGTCACTTGGAGAGTGAACCAGTTACTAGAAGATCTTTTCTCTGTCTCTCTGATTTTCAAATAAAATGAAAATAAATTTTGAGAAATTTAAGTGTAAAGAAATAGAATTCTTTTAACTCGGATATAAGTCATCCAGGCCTGGCGCAATAGCCTGGTGACTAAAGTCCTCGCCTTGCATGTGCCAGGATCCTGTATGGGCACAGGTTCTAATCCTGGCAGACCCACTTCCCATCCAGCTCCCTGCTTGTGGCCTGGGAAAGCAGTCAAGAACTGCGCAAAACCTTGGGACCCTGCACCCGCATGGGAGACCCAGAAGAGGTTCCTGGCTCCCAGTTTTGGATCAGCTCAGCTCTGGCCTTTGTGGCCACTTGGGGAATGAATCAATGGACAGAAGATCTTCCTCTCTGTCTCTCCCCCTCTTTGTAAATCTTTCTAATAAAAAAATAATTTAAAAAAAAAGTAAGTTAGCCCAAACTGGTAGAGGGATGTTCCCTGCTCTGCACAGGACTATTTATTTATTTAGGATTTATTTATTGGAAAGAGAGATATACAGAGAGGAGAGATAGAGAGTGTCTTCCATCCACTGATTCACTCTCTAAAGAGCCACAGCAGCCACAGCTGAGCTGCTCTAAAGCCTAGAGCCAATAGCCTCTTCAGGGTCTTCCACACGGATGCAGTGACTCAAGGCTTTGGGTCATCCTCTGCTGCTTTCCCAGGCCACAAGCAGGGAGTTGGATGGGAATGGGGCAGTTGGGACATGAACCGGCACCCATATGGGATGCTTTTATTGTAGGCAGCACCTTAACTTTGTGCCACAGTGCTGGGCCACTTGGGGTGCCCACATCCCCTGTGCAAGTGCCTAGGGTTAAGTCCTGTCTCTGCTTCTGGTCCAGCTTCCTGGTAATGCACATGCTGGGAAGAACAATGATACTCAGGTCTCTCCCTCCCTCTGAAAGACCCAGATTGACTTTTTTTCTTTTTGCTTCTGACTCTCCCAGTCCTGCCTTTAGAGGCGTTTGGGGAGTAAGCCAGTGGATGGAAGATATATCTGTCTTGTCTCTTTTTCTGTTTTTACCTTTAAAAAAAAGTAGGCAGCAGAAATGAGATTAGAATAATTTAGCTTCTAGTGTTGGACTCTTAGTGCAGGTCTGAAGAGCCTGCCTCCCAGAGCCTGCCTCCCAGAGCCTGGCCCAGCACAGTTATCCACCTCTTTTGCTCCGTGACCTGTGTCCCCTAGGGCAGAAGCTGCATTTCCTTGTGTCCTTAAGGTGCTTCTTGTACTCTCTGCTTGTGGTTTGTAGGTGGCAAAAAGACAACAGGGTTGATGAGAGATGGGCTGGGCTGCAGTGGGCCATGAAGCAGAGATTAAAAACGGCTCTTGGGGCAGAGGTGAAGTAATGAAAGCCTGAGCATGAGCGTGTGAAATGTGAACTTGGTGCCGACATCTCGCTGGGGAGCTGGGGCACCAGGGAGGTGGATGTAGTGTCAGTGAGGCCAGTGAGTAATTTTAGCCTAGATATTTTAAGGATGGCTTGGAAACCGGCAGGCTTTTTTTTTTCTTTCATTCTCTCTGAGATAAATTCCTGGTAATTTCCTGTGAAGCCTGCACACATGTTCTAGAGCACTTGGGGACATACCTTGTCTTAGGAAAAGCATCATACAACACCTCTAATCTTTATTCTGGAGGTTCTTTCTGAATGTATCGTCTATCCATTGCCCACTTCTGATCACACATTGCCTCTTCGAAACACTTACCAGGCGGCCACCCAGGAACATTGTTCTGCTGGATTTCTTCAGAGTACTTGTGATGTGTACATTTGATGTGTAAGTCCCATTAGAATGTTAGCTCTCTGTGAGCAGGGACCTCATGTGTATGTCTGCTTGCAGTCTAGCAGTTGGCATGGTGACCACAACAGTGCAGGATGTCTGAGTGGACAGTATAAGCTGAGATGGACCAGCTGATGCTTTCTGGTTTGTGTTAGCCACTGTGCATTCAAAAATGGAACAAGATATGGCCCTTGTCCTTCAGTCTTTGATTGTCTGGTAAAGCATATCTTTAAAAAAAAATTTTTTTTTAAAGATTGATTTATTTTTATTGGAAAATCAGATTTACAGAGAGAAAGATATTCTGTGTGCTGATTCACTCCTCAAGTGGCCACAACGGCCAGAGCTGAGTTGATCTGAAGCCAGGAGCTTTCTCTAGCTCTCACGTGGATGCTGCTCTCAAGGCTCTGGGCTGTCCTCCACTGCTCTCCCAGGCCACAAGCAGGGAGCTGGATGGGAAGTGGAACAGCTGGGATGTGAACCAGTGGCCATTTGGGATCTCGGTGTGTAAGACAGGGCCTTTAGCCACTAGACTACTGCACTGGGCCTTCTAGTTTTTAGTTTTAGTTGTCTTACACATTTAGTTATTTGGAAGAATGAGAGGAGAGATTTTCCATCTTCTGTTTTATTTCCCAAGTGCCTGCAAGCAGCTGGGACTTGACCTAACCAAAACTGGGAACACCGACTCCTTCTGAGTCCTTCATATTTGTGAGAAGGACTCACATCTGCTGCCCCAAGGGTGAGCAGCCACTTTAGCAAGCACTGTAGGTATTCCAAGGACTTATGCTGCTGTGCCACATTGCTCACCTTCTTGGCAGCTTAAAAGTAACAAAGTACTGTCTCTGGAAACTCGATTTCTTTCCTTTCAGACTCTAACTGATGGAGGTAGATGTGCATTGGCAGTTGCTGCGAAGATGATACTCATAAATCAGCCTTTCCTCTCCCTCAGCCACTTATGTGATTCATCTCAATAAGTATTTCCTTCATGGTTTACTTATTACAGATTTCCATTGTTCCTAATGTAAGTTTCCTGCTGAGTGGATGTAGAGAAGGGGGGAGGAATCCAAAATGGGAGACAAGTTTAGGACCGACTATGTCCTCAGATATTTATTTCAGTTACTTTAAAACCCCTGAGGCCTGGAAGGTTATCTGATAAGCCCAGCATCACATAGGTTGGAAACAGCTGGCTAGTACAGATCCTGTATCCTTGCTTTTTTCATCTTTTTTCCACGTTCAATCAGGTGGTACATTTATCTTTTTTTTTTTTTTTTAAGATTTATTTATTTATTTTGGGAAAGGCGGATATACAGAGAGGAGGAGAGACAGGAAGATTTCCATCTGATGATTCACTCCCCAAGTGACCACAACGGCCGGTGCTGCCCTGATCTGAAGCCAGGAGCCAGAACCTTTCCTCCAGGTCTTCCACACAGGTGCAGGGTCCTAAGGTTTTGGGCCGTCCTGTATTGCTTTCTCAGGCCACAAGCAGGGAGCTGGATGGGAAGTGGGGCTGCTAGAAATTAAAACCAGCGCCCATATGGGATCCCAGCGCGTTCAAGGCAAGGACTTTACACGCTAGGCCATTGCGCTAGGCCCAAAATAAATAAATGTTTAAAAAAAAGCCAGTTAGGAGTCATTTGGAATTAAAACTTCTGAGTAGTCCACGATCTCGGGGATGGCAAGTTTTGGAAGATAAAATAACACCTTGCACGTTCCAAAAAGTGACATTGAAAGCCACTCCAAGAGAGACATTCCAGACATGTTTTGAGCAGTCACAGTATTGTTGGAATTAAGATGATGTCTCCTGAGACATCCTTTTAGAGTTCCAGGACATAAATTCTGTTAGTCAAGTATGTGCTTACTCTTAGGGGGTGCATTCAACATTTACTGAACACCTTCTACTAGAAAATGTCTTTGTTAAGTGCTAGTAATTGATGAAACTCATAGTCTAGGGCCCGGCGGCGTGGCCTATTGGCTAAAGTCCTCGCCTTGAACGCCCTGGGATCCCATATGGGCGCTGATTCTAATCCCGGCAGCTCCACTTCCCATCCAGCTCCCTGCTTGTGGCCTAGGAAAGCAGTGGAGAACGGCCCAAAGCTTTGGGACCCTGCACCCGTGTGGGAGACCCGGAAGAAGTTCTTGGATCCTGACTTCGGATCGGCACAGCATCGGCCGTTGTGGTCACTTGGGGAGTGAATCATCGGACGGAAGATCTTCCTCTCTGTCTTTCCTGCTCTCTTTATCTCTGACTTTCCAATAAATAAACAAATCTTTTTTAAAAAAAAAGAAAGAAACTCATAGTCTAACAGGCAGAGATAAATATCTAAATAAGTAAATGTGCTAAATTTTGCATTTGGCTACAAAAATAGAAAAGTCGACTCTAGTTCTTCATATGTTTAGATGTTAAGTAGATTAAAAATGTTTGAAGATTATATCTAAACTGAAACACACTGATCTTTTCTGTGTCGTTATACCGTAAAGAGTGTTCATTTGCCTTCTGTTGTGGGTGTTTCTCCTATGTAAAGATTTTTGGTGAAAATTATATGTAAATATGAGTACATCACAGTCTTTGTTGTCTTCTGCTCTTCTCTTGTGATTATCCACCTCTGGGGTGTCACCTCAGACTGGATTTGCTTTGTTCTAGTCAGGAAACAACATGCTGGAACCAACTGCTGTGATTCCTGATGAGGAACTTTTTAAGACAAGGAATTTAATCTTTCGCAAAACTTTGTAGATAGTGTTCTGGGACATCTGAGTTTCTTCTTCCTTCCAGGGTGTTCCTGAAAAGAAGGTGCTTCCAATCACTGTGCCCAAGTCACCAGCGTTTGCACTCAAGAACAGAATCCGAATGCCCGCCAAAGAAGATGAGGTGATGTGCTGGGAATTCTCTATAGTCAGTCTAAAGCTCACCTAATGGTCCTCACACTGGAGTACAGAAACAGCTACTCGTAGGTGAAGCTTATACAGCAGTTGACCATGGTGTGACTCTTTGGGCTGTCGGTGGAGCCTTGCTGCTTCTGCAGCACTGAAAATTACCCTGTCTTTGTAATATGGATAAAAAGTTTCTAAACCTCGCACTTTATTTTGTTGTCGTTATTGTCACTAGTCAATGAGGGATTTTAAAAATTCATACTTAATCATTACATTTGCTCTTTCCTATCTCCGTTAGCAAAAGGAAAGCATAGATTACTGTGTGATGTTTCATAGAATCATTGATGGAGCTAGTTTCTTGGTATGTTCCTCATTTTATCTATAGATATCCAAAGTTAGGGTAGTTTTATAGCAGATCTCAAGCATAAGCCTTTTTATAGGTTTGTTTGAAACTTAAATACACAGTAATCTTATGTTACCAGCTTCAACCTGAATAACTTACTTGGTCCTATTTTGGGGTTGGCAATCATTAGCTCCCAGTCACATGTTTTAGAAGAGTCTGAGGCTGGATCCAAGAAGAGGTAGTTTGTGCTTAGTTAGACTGTTTGATCTTCATTTTATTCATGCTGCTTGATTTCATTTATTTCTTTAAAACATTCCAGTGGAAAGCTGTGGATTTTTAAAGATATTATGTTATCTTTTTGCCCAGTACCTTTCATATTGCTCTTACTTCTGTAAGGGAGCAGGTGACTTAGCTATTACTCCTTAAAAAGAAGCTAAGACACCTAAGCGATTGAATGACTTGTGTTAATTAATGACTTATCTCACAGAATGTCTCCTGCCTGCATCCTCTGTGGAGTAGGATAGATGGGTTTCTAAAATGTGCTGTTTCTCTTAGGAAGAAGACGAACCAGTGGTAATAAAAGCTCAGCCTGTGCCCCATTATGGAGTGCCTTTTAAGCCCCAGATGCCAGAGGCAAGAACTGTGGAAATATGCCCTTTCTCCTTTGACTCTCGTGACAAAGAACGACAGTTGCAGAAGGAGAAGAAAATAAAAGAACTGCAGAAAGGAGAAGTAGGTGTTTTCATGTCTGCAGGTGGCATCATATTCTTTGATCCTTCAAAGATAACCTTTTTGTAGCACTTTTATAACTGTAAAATCACTGCCTTCCTTTGATTCTCTAGGAATGCTATGAAATATAAATATTTCAAGTCATCTTTCTGGCACATGCAGGTTAAGTGACTAGGGCTAATCCTTTGACAGTTACCGCCAATGTTGGAAGGAAAACCTAGATCTTATTTTGAGCCTGTTATTCTTTTCTGCTAGACTGTGCTATTTTGAAAACTTAATAACCCTGCTTCTCAGTTTCGTCTAAATATTCTGGAGTAGTTGTCAATTATTCCTGGCTATCAAGCTCTGTGTTTTGTTTTGTTTTCTTTTTTATTATGATTATGATTATTTTTATTTTATTACACAGCCTTCATTATTATTATCATTTTATGATACAGTTCCAAAAGCCCTGGTATTTCCCAAAGCCCCTCCCCAGTACTCTTCCCCCTCACTGAGTTCCCCTAAATTATTATACTATACTCTAGTTCTTCATGAACAGTCATATGTCCATCATTGTGGGCATGGACAGTGGCAGAGACCAGCTTCCTATTGTCAAGATATTAATGATTACTTACTTTATAATCTTACATAGTTGATTAGGGTACAAAGGATCAAGGGCTACAAGAAAATGGGTTATACCATTGTTTCCACACTAATATCATCATTTTTCCCCCAGTATCTGGGGTCAAGGGAGAAACAAAGGGAGAAGCCCCACCCAAGCTTCTACCCATTCCAGGTCCCCAACGTGGGGCATGCTCTGAGGGTCCTGCTCCAGCAGTTTTGATAGTTCAATAGTTCTGAATTGCTGCCAATCTCACCATTCCAAGCACAATGAAATCTATTCAGAATCCACTGGTTGACATAGTGTTTTTATGGTTGGAGTTCTGAGATCAGCAGTTTAGTTGGAGGGATCTTCAAAGAAACTTTGTCTGAGGTGATTCCAGACCTGATTTTTGTGTGTGCTTGCCAATACAGGGTCCGGCACCGTCCATTGTCCCAATCAGCTTATGTACATGCTGGTCGTTGCAGTTCTGTTTCCAGCTCTGTCTTCCATACGAACCAATGATTGTTGCAGTCCAGCCTGATCCTGCTCACTTCATACTCGACCCTGACACAAACCAGTGGGAGCTGCAGCCTACTTAGGGCGACTCCTCATAACCCCAACCAGACCTGCCCCCTACCCTGGTTCCCGTGCTTGCCAGTATGTGCAGCAGACTTGTTCAGTCTGTGCCACATCCCATTCAGCTCTCACACATGTCAATGGGCATTGAAGCCTAGTTCAACCCAACCAACCTTACTGTCCAGCACAAAACACATACTGGCAGGTGCCTTTCTGTCTAGCCACCCGTGACCCTGTCATGGTTTTCATGCTCTCCAGTGGGAGTGATAACCCAAGAGGGAGGTGCCACAATTTCCCTCTCGGGCCACTCCCTGATTATGTAATCCAGGTGGTTCTGGAGTTTAACTTGATAGATTTAGCCCCCAGTGCCAGCCTCTGCCAGATGATGCTGTGGCAAAGCCCAACCAACCCTCACCCACTGTAATTTTTGCTTGCACCAGTCGGAAGGGAACAAACCTCAAATTCAAAAGGAAGAACAGAAATCAGGATGGAGCACAGGTCATGCTGAGCTAGGCTCATACACTGACTGGTCTGCATGAGCCAGGGATACTAGGCCACATCAAAGGCAAAGGCGGAGACAGGTGAGGGGCTAAGCCAACTGGGTCAAGCTCTGTGTTTTCAATCTCAGGCTTTTTTCCCCATTAGGTTCCCAAGTTCAAAGCACATCCCTTGCCTCATTTTGACACCATTAACCTGCCAGAGAAGAAGGTCAAGAGTGTGACGCAAATTGAACCTTTCTGCCTGGAGACTGACAGAAGAGGCGCTGTGAAGGCACAGAACTGGAAGCACCAGGTGGGGACGACAGCACGGCCACGGTGGTAGCTGCTTGGTCGGGTAGATGGGCGGACCCTGAAATCCAGGATGAGCACTGGGTATTCCCAAGGCTTTCACTGTGATTCTGAGGTAGCCTGTTTTTTTCTGTAAAGAGCTAGGGAGTAATAAGTATGTTAGGCTTTATAAGTTGCATATGATCTCTTTCATATGCTGTGTGTATGCATGCATGTGTGTTTCCAACCCTGTAAAAATGTAGAAAGCTCTCTTAGCTCATGGACTATATAGAAAAGGGTTGCAAGCTGGTTTTGGCTTGCAAGTCAGTTTGACAATCCTTGCTCCTAAGAGGTCACTTAAGAAAAGTGAAAACAGGCTTTGAGTCAAGAATCCTTTTTTTTTTTTCTTTAAGATTTATTACTTTTTATTGGAAAGGCATATATAAGAGAGCAGGAGATACAGAGATGAAGATCTTCTATACACTGATTTGCCCCCTTAGTGGCCACAAAGGCCAAGAGCTGAGCCAATCCGAACCCAGTAGCCAGGAGCCTCTTCCAGGTCTCCCTCATGGGTGCAGGGTCCCAAGGCATTGGGCTGTCCTCTGCTGCTTTCTCAGGCCACAAGCAGAAAGCTGGAAAGGAAGCAGAGCAGATGGGATTAGAAGTGGTGCCCATACAGGATCCCAGTACATGCAAGGCGAGGACTTTAGCCACTAGGCTACCGTGCCGTGCCAAGAATCTGTTTAGGTGGGGGGAATCCCCAGTGCCTATAAAACTGTATCACATAATACAATGTTAATAACAATTTAAAAAAATTAATTAATTAATTTAAAAAAAAAAGAAAATTGCAGTTTCAAAAAAAAAAGAATCTGTTTAGGGTCTATTTTATCTGTTCTGTTAAAGTCATGTTTCTCTTCTATAAGAGATTTTCAGCAAGGTATATACTATGCTTGTATATAGCAAGTATAAGATAACAGGAGATTAGAAACAATTAATTGCTTGTTGGCTGGTTTAATAGAGTCTAATTCTGTCCAGTTGGAAGAATTTCCTTTAGGTTCTTAATTTATCAGTATATTTATGTTATAACCTATCCTAGATTATATTAAAAATATAAGGACATGGGCCTAAAACTGTAGTCTAGTGGCCAAAGTCCTTACCTTGTACGTGCCGGGATTCCATATGGGCACCGGTTCATATCCTGGACACCCCACTTCCCATCCAGCTATCTGCTTCTGTCCTGGGAAAGCAGTCAAGGATGGCCCAAAGCCTTGGGACCTTGCACCTCATGGGAGACCTGGGAGAGGCTCCTGTCTCCTGGCTCAGTTTGGACTGTTGTGGCCACTTGGGGAGTGAAGCATGGATGGAAGAGCCTTTTGTCTTCTCTTCTCTGTGTATCTGACTTTCCAATTAGGAAAAAAAAAAAAGAGTATAAGAATAGGACAAATTAACAGTGGTTCCATAATGGTGACAAATGGCCAACTTTCAAATATCACCAAACTTCTCTTTCTCTTTTTTGCTTTCAGTTAATGATTTTTGTATTCACTTGAAAGGCGGTCTTACAGAGAGAGCCACTGCTCCACCAAATAGCTGCAGTGACAGGACCTGATTCAGGCCAGAGCCAGGAACTTTTTTCAGGTCTTTCACGTGGTGTAGGGGCCCAAGTACTTAGGCCATCGTCTGCTGCTTTTCCAGAACCCCAGTAAAGAGCTGCATCAGAAGTCAAGCAGCCAAGACTCTTTGAGCTGGTGCCCACCAGCATCCTGGTCTGTACCTTAAGTTGCTGAGCTATAACACCAGTTTCGTAAAAGAAGAAAATCATTAAGATTCAAGTTTTCAGTGGGTTCAGCTATTTTCAGACTGATAATAGTCATTAAGAAATGTGTGCATGCATGGGGTTTAACTAATATTTTTATTGAATCATTTGTCTTATCGAAGAGGTTCAAGGACAATAGAACTTAAGTTGTTGAGGTGGTAGTCGTGAAAGTTGTGGAGTTGCTTACCCAATTCATTTTCTTTCCTACAGTTGGAGGAAGAACTGAAACAGCAAAAGGAAGCAGCTTGCTTCAAGGCTCGTCCAAACACTGTCACCTCACAGGAGCCCTTTGTGCCCAAGAAAGAGAAAAGGCCAGCTGCTGGTAGTATCCTGTGCTTTGGGGGTGTGGGGCACAATTTTCAGACTTCCTGGGGGAGTAAATACTGGGATGCTAGTTGTATACAACACTTTGGCAACCAGAACTTTTGACTTTAGGGGTTGGTAGCATTTTTTCCTCTCTACCCTGAGTTGAACCAGCATCTTTGTTGAGCTGTAGAATGTACTGGGGCTGGTTTGATAGAATTCAAGCCTTAGCAGAAGCAAGTAGTATTTCATCATTAGTAATAGGCTTGCCTCACCCACATATAGCAAGTATGTAAGAACCAGATGTCTTCCTGGAGTTTATCTTGAAGCAAGCCTTAGATACTAAATATTTGATTTCTTAAGCACTGGGCAATGTATTCTAAAGTTGTAATTCTTTATCTGTCTCAAAATCAGTGTGTTTTTAGCCAATTGCTTCACCTCTGTGGATCTGGATGATCTCTAAGGGCCCCTGCAACTCAGATAATTCTAGGACTTGTCTGAGGTTTCTCTCTCCCCAACTGAGGTTTCCTCAGAACTCGGCCCGTCTTTCTTTTTTTAAAACAGACACATAATAAACTCTAAGACAGGGCTGGTGCGATAGCCTAGTGGCTAAAGTCCTTGCCTTGAATGCCCTGGGATCCCATATGGGCGCTGATTCTAATCCCAGTAGCTCCACTTCCCATCTAGCTCCCTGCTTGTGGCCTGGGAAAGCAGTTGAGGATGGCCCAAAGCCTTGGGACCCTGCACCCGTGAGGGAGACCTGGAAGGAAGTTCCTGGCTCCTGGCTTAGGATCGGCTCAGCTTCAGCCATTGCGGTCACTTGGGGAGTGAATCATCGGACGGAAGATCTTCCTCTCTGTCTCTCCTCCTCTTTGTATATCTGACTTTCCAATAAAAAAAAAATCTTAAAAAAAAAAATAAAACTCTTAAGGGCAACAATGACAACTTGTTTAAACTCCTACCAATAAATAAATAAATAAATAAACTCCTATCAAAAATTAGTCTTTTATAAATTTCCAATGGTTCAGTGCATTTATAATTTTTAAATTTATAAAGAAAAAAAACAAGAAATATGAATAGTTGCATTTTTGCAGCATACTGCAATGTCAAAGTTATAGCTGTGTGTGTAATTCTGATGCAATTCAAAGCACAGAATCACTGCTTCTTCCCATCCTTCCTTCTGCCTGGATATGGGGATAGTAAGATTAGAGAATTATGCCAAATTGGAGACCTATTTAGGTAAACATTTTCAATTAAAATAGTCAAATATTGCCATATGTAGAAAAATGAAATAGTTTTAGAGGAAGGTATTTGGCTGAGTAATTGGCTTCCTGCTGTCACCCTAGAGTCCTGGCTTACGTTCCCAGCTCATAGCTCAGCACCCTCACACAGACATTTTAGGCCTTTGGGGTGTAAATCAGCAGATGGGAGCATGCTCTCTGTGCCTCAAATAAAACCATGGAAATTTATAAAAATGCAGATTTAATTACGCTTTTATAATTAAGCTCAAATATGCTTGTGTTTATTTGTAGTTGTAATACCTGTTTTGGGGGAAAAGATGCCTTGATGAAAATAATTTGGAAAATATTCACCAGTGCACATGTGCAAAACATTTTATATAAAAAATTATATTCAGTGAATTACTATGCTCATATATCTACTTGAAAATTATGTCTTAAAGGTAAATTTATTTATCTAACACTCAATTTTTCTGCTGCAATGTGTCTGCAATTTGCTCAGTCCAATGGGGATGGGGAATAGGTTTTTGGAGTAATTGTGCACACCAATATTTTCTCTGTTTCTGTGCTCAGAGGACCTTTCTGGTTCTGTAGTTCAGGAACCATTTCAGCTGGCCACTGAAAAGAGAGCAAAGGAGCGGCAGGAGCTGGAGAAGAGGATGGCTGAAGTTGAGGCACTCAAGCTCCAGCAGCTGGAGGAAGCCAGACAGCAGGAGGAGGAGCAGAAGAAGGAGGAACTCATACAGCTGCGGAAAGAACTGGTAACTAACCCAGCCTGTCTGTGCTGTATTTGTGTCTGGCCCTGTCCGCGCAAGCTCTGAGGTGGCCCACAGGCTTACAGCAAAAACTGGGAGAGAGAGGGAGAGCCCGTAAACCAAGGATGATGATTGCGTTTAAACAAGACTGAGCTTGAGGTGTATGCACGCATTGTGCTCAATTATGAGCTATAATTTTGACCCTTTTTAGGAGTTAGCCTACCACTTAAGAAATAGATTTGTCTTTAGTAATGACTTTAGGCAGAATTTCTTTCAGTGATCATTTTGGCTTTAGGACTTCATGCCTTAAACCACGTGTTACATTTCCTAGCATTCTTTTTGTTTGCTTTATTTATTTAACTTATTTTAATGATTTCTTTTTAACTCAAGAAGAATCAATGTGCTTTACAATTAGAAACATAAAAAACAAAGAAGGACATGGGCATTAAATTAAATGTTGAAATGTGTGAGTTGCTGAAATTTTGTTGAAGCAGTAGGCTAGTCACTGAAATCTCTGTCGACACAGGTGGCCGTGCCCGTGCTTGCAGAGGCTCTGAGGACAGCCCATTCAGGGGCTAGCCTCTAGTGAAGTCTAAAAGGCTATAATCCCCAGTACTCTAATCTTCCGTGCCTAAGGCCTCCTGTTGTGCTGGCCATGTCACTGTTCTTCCTGTAAGTCCCAGTGAAGGCCCATTGCAGCGTCTGCAGCACAATACAGGAAATGTTACATCTCTCTGCTAAGCTAACTTGATTCAGCGTTGATTTTAGAGTACCAAGAAGGCTGGACGGTAGCCAGCCTTCTCTGGCCGCCTTCTCACTGGTAATTATTACTAGATTGTTATTACTGGTTCACTCGCTGTTAAATTCCTCTGGAAATAAGGTTGACCTTCTTCAGTGAAAGCTGAAGAACCCAGCAAAGCACTGAAGAGAAACCTGTTTGGGCTCCAGAACCCTGTCTGCTTTTCCATTATAGTGCGTTGTTTCACTCATGCCTCCCCATCCCCGTTTTAAATTGGGGACTGGGATCTGTAACTCTATGCAACCGTTTTCTCAAAAAGAAGTAAAAGCACTGTTCACTAATACTCTGTATGGTGTTAACTGTATTTTCCTTACTCTGCAGGTACACAAGGCAAATCCAATTCGCAAGTACCAGAGTGTAGAGATAAAGTCAAGTGACCAGCCTCTGACTGTGCCTGTGTCTCCCAAGTTCTCCACTCGATTCCACTGCTGAGCTCAGCTGGGACCTGCAGATGCCACCTGGCAGCTGGAGCTGCTTTGAGCATCAACCCAGGAGCCTTTGTCCTTGATGCTGGGAGTGGGGAGCTCGCCTCTCCAGACCTTAACTGCTTGGGCCAAACAGAACTTACATGACTGACAACTGTGGGTTCTGGTTAAGAATTGTTTTCTTACATTTTTGAGGCTATTAATGAGACTCAGTGCATATGTGTCTTGATAGACTCCATGTAGTTATTTCCTTTAAGCCATTAACATGAGTGTTGACTCTCACTAGAATTTCATGTCTCTGTGATAGTACAGTGCGGTCTTTATGTCTCCTTACCCCTTTTTATATATAATTATTATTATTATTTTAATTAGAAAATAAAGATAGTTGAATCCTGAGGTAGGGTTTAAGTCCTGGTTTAAACGAGGAGCAATCACTATTTCAGCAGTCACTTCTCTCTTCCCTGCATAAATGAGTCTGTAGTTAAGAAGCCCTGTGTAAACCTTATCAACTATATCCCTGAGGAAGATAGTGACGTGAACTCTTGGGAGCCTCACAGCAGCCATTTGGCAAGCTTTGGGCAGGCTGCCATCAAGCACCTTCTTCCCTGTCATTGCTGAGATAGCGGTGCATTTTAAGAACTGTCCTGGAATAAATACAGTATGTCTTCCCTTCCCTTGTTTTGTCATTTGATATTTGTAAATCCATCATGCCTCTTTGGAGGACATATCTTACTGGGAAAATGGCAGTTTGAGAGGTGAGTCCAGAAATATTTTTTTAGAATTTATTAATTTAAAAAGCAAAATGGCAGTAGAAGGGACAAATTTCCCATATACTGACTCACTCCCCCAAAATGGCTACAGCAACTGTAGTTGGGCCAGACTGAAACCAGGAGCTCCCACCTGGGTGCAGGGTCCCAAGGCTTTGGGCTGTTTTCTACTGCTTCCCTAGGCCACAAGCAGGGAGCTGGATGGGAAGTAGAGTAGCCAAGACATGAAATGACACTTGCAAGGAAGGATTAACCAATTGAGCCATCATGCAGGGTCCTTGAACATCTACTGTTATCAGTCATTTACACTTGGCCCAAGAAGTTACGAAAGCATCCATATGCTATCCAGGCTAGTCCTGAATAAAACGACATTAATCCTGTTTTAAATTCATTTTTTAGCCATTTATTGAGCATTTGCAGATCTGTTGTGGAGAAGCCATTGTAGATGGCACAATGGGTGGCAAAGCAAGATTATGATTGATGTTATGATCTGAAGACTCCTGCTCCTCTTGAAGGCCCATAACTGACGTAACATGCAGTTTCTTTGTTTACTACCTAGAGAGTTGTGGTATTTAAATCCCTAACTTTATTTGGTTCATTTAACAAATTCTTATGTGGAACTAACTCTGTATATTTTACCACTGTTCTGTTCCTGGGACTACAGCAGTGAGAAAAAAGAAGGACAGCTTGCTTCATAGAGGGAAGCTTCAGATTAGAGATGCCACTCTGGAGGGGTTCAGTGCCGCAGGCGGAGGCTAAGCCTACTATTCCACGGTACCAGCATTCCCGAAAGAACATCAGTTTAAGCTCAAGCTGCTCCGCTTCCGATCCAGCTCCCTGCTTAAGGCCTGGGGTAGCAGCAGAGGATGACTTAAGTACTTGCGCACCTGCACCCACATGGAAGACCCAGAAGAAGCTCTTGGCTTCAGATTGCCTTAGCTCCTACCATGTAGGGCATGAACCAGCAGATAAGATCTCTCTCTGTTTCCTCTCTGTACCTCTACCTTTCAAATAAAAATGTATCTTTAGAAAAGAAACAAATGCTGCTGTAACTGCTATGTATAGAATAGACCATAGTGGGGAGGAGCAGCCTGCAAGTTGTCCTTGGGAGAATAAAGAGATACTGTCTTCATGAGAGCTGATAGCTTGGGCTGGGAGCTGCCAGTGGTGGTTGGATTCTGAATGTAGTTTGAAGTTGTAGCTGGCAAGATTTGCTAATGGACTGGGTGTGGGTAGAGTGGAAGGACCTGGGATTCTAGAGGTTGCCAAGGTATCAGCTCTAAGACGGACAGATTTCTCCATCCCTTCTGCTTTGGACATCCCGATTCAACTTGGTCCTTGTTTTTTACCTGGGAATTTTGTAGTGTTCCTTGTCAGTGCTTTCAGTTTTTGCCCCCTTTATGTCTTGGTCTTCCTTCCGGGTCTTTCTTCGCAGAGACAGTGCTGCATGTAGTTTTCCTGCAGTTTATATCAGCAGCTGTCCTCCTAATGCATGTTTTCTGGTATCGTTATTTCATATTTCATGTTTTTTGTTGTTTCAGTTAGACTAATCTAGCCGTCAAATTGAAGTTTGGGAAGGACTGTTATTAAGTATTATCACCTGTGGGATTCCTATACCCCATTTAATCCATTCTGAATTATCCCCTGCTTTCCCTCCTCCACCCCCATTAGAGCAGGAATAAGTACCGGTCTTTTAGAAGCAGCAGAAAGGAATTAGGAAACTTAGAGCAAACGGCTTAGACTTGAGACACGCAGACCTGGCGCCGTTGCTGTGTGCAGTCCTCAGTCTCCAGAGGCCGTTTCTCCTGAGCACAGTCTTCTGTCCAGTACTCTGTCCTCTCTCGATTCTCACATCGTACCACCTGTTTTTCTAGTACGTCTTCCCATCTTCCTCAGAGTCTCGAGCCCTTCACCTGTATTTTACAAATAAATTCAAGTTCTTTATCTCTTTAGGTCAATCATGTCATAGGAGGAGCTTCGTCTTTGCACAGTCTGAGGTTGCTAGGAATTTTCCTAAACAAAATGTCCTGACATAAGCATTTGATGAATTACCACACTTGCTTGACACGCTTGCAGAGGTCCTAGCACATGTGCTCATGCAGGCTGTGGAATGCTAGCTTTTGGGCCCGGCAAGATGGATGAGCTGACTGATCTTCTTGCAAGCACCAGCATCCCATATGGGTGCCAGTTTATGTCCCAGCTGTTCTACTTCCAATTTTCAGTCCCCTGCAGGTGACCTGGGAAAGCAGTGGAGGATGGTTCAAAGCCTTGGGGTTGTGCACTCGTGTGGCAGACCCAGAAGAAGCTCCGGGTTTCGGATTAGCTCAGCTCCAGCCCTTGCAGCCATTTGGGAAATGAACCTGTGGATGAAAGATCTTTCCCTTCATTTCTCCTTTTCTCTGTAAAATTTCATTTCTAATAAAAATAAATATTAAGTTTTGTTTTGTTTTTGGAGAGGATGCTTTGTCTTCACTGTCAGTTTTACTTGGTCGTGTTTTTCTCTTTTTCTTAAAAGGTTTGTTTATTTGAAAGGCTGCAATGGCCAGGGCTGGATTAGGAGGCAGGAGCTTCATCCAGCTCTAGGGTGGATGTGGGGGACTGAGCACTTGCGCTCTCTTCTGCTTTCCCAGGCAGCTGGGGCTTGGTGTGGTGCCCAGTGTAGGCTGCTAGTGTCAGAAGCGGCACCCAAAACCAAACGCAACCACCATGACGTTAGTTCTTGGTCATGGTTTTCTGTTGCTTATACTCTTGTATTAATATACTGGAAATATTGCTATTTGTGTTTACTTTGATGTTTTTGTCCTTGCATAATTGACTGATTACCATTTTGGTTGCTTTTTTTTTTTAACTTTTCTATTAATGTTTTATTTTTGTAAATGAGAGTGGTAGACTGCAGTTGAATGTAGTTGAACAAAAATGAAGGCTGTAAACAAGATAGAATGTGATTTAGTCACGTGGGGGACAGTATTGTAGAAGTAAAAGATTCTTGTTGGAAGTGAGGTTGCGTGAAGTTTGAACAGTCTCTTTAAGTAAAAACTGCAAAAAGTATTCCCTTCTAGAAACGATTAAAGCAAATATAACTATAAAATGAAATCTTTTTGCTCCTCTGCTCCTATTCCCCAGGAGTAACTTGTTCATAATTGTGTTTTCTGCAGTGTTTCATGAGCACATGAGCTTATGGAGCATTTTGTTCTTTTATTTAGATGGTGAAGTTGTTGTGTGCATTTTATACATTTTGCTTCTATGTTTCAAAATTGAAAGAATTGAAGGTAAAAAGTGCTTTTTTTAGCTTTGCATTTCCCCTCACCAGAGGAGTTTTATATTCGCTTCGGAGACAGTGTCTGCTTCTTGCTGCCCACCTCTGTGGTCTGCACCACACCGTATTCCTGGAACTTTCCTGGAACTTTGCTTTCCTCACTGTGTTATGGATCTGAATGATGTGGTTCCGGTGCTGCCTCAGGTATGCCTTGGCTCCTTGACTGACAGAGGAAGCTGCTTAGGAGTCTCTGAGGGGGCGGACTCTGCATGCTGCGCTGGCAGGCCAGCAGCCCCTCCTGGCTCATTCATCCTTGAGGACTCATTTATTTGTGCATCTGATCAGTGTCAGGCAATCTTGACACAGCTTCCTTTTCGTTTCCCTTGAAGAAAGTCCTCTCCCTGAATCATGTCTGCCTTGGAAGTTCCTCATTGCTGAGAATAGCAGTTACAAATGCTGTTAGCCACGTGGCTGGGCTCCTGTTTCTACACAAGCAGGCTGAGTTACAGCTTCATGGGGTGGATCCAGGTAGGAATTGGTCAACATTCTGAATCCTGAGCTGCCATCAGTCTTACAACCTGCTGGGATGCTCATTTTAGACAACATATAAAGTTTCATGGATACAGGACAGCCTCAGGCCTATGGAAACAGCAGGAAGGTTAAAGTGTGTGGTACTTTGAGCAGTGACGAAGGCGTAACCAGGGAGCTGACATGCTTGCTCCAATGCCAAGAATTCCAGGACTATTTGTTATCCAACTAAGCTGGTGTAGTTGCTACAAAAAAGAAATATGTGGGTAGAAACATAACTTTGTCTTCTTGTATACCCAGTTTATTTTCTAAGGCTGTAGTGAAGGTTGCTTAAGGCTGGAAATATCTGATGAATGTTGCTATTCTTTTGTAAGGAAATTAAGAGGCTGGATTTGGGCTAAGCTGTGGTTCTTATGTGCGAAAGCTATCATCTTCCTGAAAGATCTTCACAAGTCCTGAAGTTTCACTTGGAGTGTCGGGTATAAGCTTTTAGGAGATAAAGACTAACTAGTTCTTAACTGAAATGCTTGGGACCGGAAGTGTTTGGGATTAGGGGATATATGCATACTTGGGAATGGGGTACTAGTCTAAACACTTTTCATTTGCTTTATATCGCATAGCAATGCACTTAGAAACAGTTATGTATGGCACAGAAATTCAAGGAATGGAGTTTCCCATTTATAGCATGTTGGTACATATTGGAGCATTTGTCATTTTGGGTATTTGGATCAGGCATGCTTACTTAACCTTTGCTAGATTTTGTCAGGCAAGAATTGATTTCACTACACTAAATTTGGATTGCAGGCATCAGTTCCTTTTTATTTAAACAATTTTAACAAATTAAATTTCAACAGTTGCATCAATTGCTCTTTATTTTGTTTTTAAGATTTATTTTTATTTTTTTTTTTATTGGAAAGGCAGATATACAGAGAGGAGAGACAGAGAGGAAGATCTTCCAGCCGATGATTCACTCCCTAAGTGAGCGCAACGGCCAATGCTATGCTGATCCGAAGCCAGGATCCAGGAGACTCTTCCAGGTCTCCCACGTGGGTACAGGGTCCCAAAGCTTTGGGCCGTCCTCTGCTGCTTTCCCAGGCCACAGGCAGGGAGCTGGAAGGGAAGC